AAAAAAGGCTTGAAGATATTCAAAAGGGAACTGCAAATACATCCGGGAAATCTCGCCACATGGTTGTGTTGTCAGGTCAAGCATTTGAATATAAAAGCATATAATAACTTAGTTAAACAGTTCTTTATCTAGACAAGAAGCCCATGGGTTTGTAGACCAGACCTTTCACTTCCAACCCTAGGAGCAAGGACGCTACTAGGAACAAAGGGCATCGCTCCTGGCATCGCTACTAGGAGCATTCTTACTAGTAACAAGAAGCTACTGGGGGCTCGTGGCCTTACTACTAGTAGTAACAAGAAGCTACTAGTAACAAGTGCATCGCTACTAGTAACAGGTGCCACGCTAGTAGTAACAGGTGCCTTACTAGTAGTATATAACAAGAAGCTACTAGTAACAAGTGTATCGCTTCTAGTAACAAGTGCCTTACTACTAGTAACAAGAAAGCTACTAAGAACAAGGACATTTTCTCCAGAGTTTTACTGATTGTTGGGGTTCTCTCTTGGGAAAAAGAAGCAAAAGAAAGGCTGGCCACTGTCAATGGCCGAGCAGGTAAACGCCGTGTCCGGGCGTTGTCCTCTTGTTGACCTCTTCTTGTCCGCCTGTTGTCCCGCACCTGCGAGCCCTGTCTGGATGTCCACCTTTTCTCTTCCTTGTCATAATCTTGTTACTAGTAGCGATGCCAAGAGCCCCTAGTAGCGTCCTTGTTACTAGTAGCGATGCCAAGAGCCCCTAGTAGCGTCCTTGCTCCTAGTAGTAAGGCCAGGAGCCCCTTGTAGCTTCTTGTTACTAGTTCGGTCCTGTCCTCCTCATGTTCTTCTCTTGCCTTCTTCTTGTCTTTCTTTAGGTGTTCATCGGCTGCGGCTGCCAGCTCCGGTCGTGCTCCTCCTGTCGTCGTCTGGTCTTTCTCTTGTCCTCTCTTCCTCTTCTCTTGTTCTCCTCTTGGCAGGTGTGCTCCCCTCATGTTGTCCGGTTGTCCGGTCACAGTCACAGCTTGTCATGTTGTTCGTGTTGTTTTCCTTGCCTAATTTAATCCCTAATCCTCTTGTCCTCTGTTGTCCTCCTCATGTCCTCCTCTGGTCTCTCTGTTGTCCTGCTGCTGTCGTGCTGTTTACGTTGGTCTCCAAGGCAGGAGCTGGAGCTGCGGCCACCCACCACCACAACAACAGTTTGCCGACTACGCTGTTTGGGGTCTATGCTGGTAGAATTTTACTGTTTGGGGTCACCTCGCTTGCGTGAGAGAATGCAGATCGACCCCCTACGCGAAATTTACACAAATCACAAGGCACCTTACTACTAGTAGCTGGAAGCTACTGGTAGCTCCTGGCATTACTACTAGGAACAAGAATCAAGAAGCTACTAGTAACAAGGGCATGGCTACTAGTAGCATACTGACCGTGACGCCACAAGGCCGTGGCGTCCAAAGCCGTCGACGCGGATGCGGTGACGCTCAGTGTCGCCCCGACGATTTAGAGCGCTGCTGCAGATAGGGAACTGAAAGTGTGCCATGACTTAAGACCACCAACCTAATAGCGATGGCCTCCAACCTAATAGCGATGGCCTGCAACCTAATAGCGATGGCCTGCAACCTAATAGCGATGGCCTGCAACCTAAAAGCGAGGGCCTGCAACCTAAAAGCGATGGCCTGCAACCTAAAAGCGAGGGCCTGCAACCTAATAGCGATGGCCTGCAACCTAA